ACACTGTTGCTATGGTTTAAAATAAAATTTAACTAAATTAAAATTATATTTCAAGAAATTATGTATATAAAATATAAATTAGAAAACACAACTTGGAACATTTTGAAGCTGGTTATACACAATTGCTATAGTTTAAAATAAAATAAAATAAATTTCATGAAATAAAACTGTGTGCAAAATATAAGTTAATGTAAAAGAATTATGGCATTGCTAGCTTTTTTTTTTTTTACAGTTTGTATTTTAAGCAAATTTTCAACCACAGTCAAATAATACAATAAGCACCAAGTGCCATGAGTTACCTGTGAGTGTTTCTGATGGTCAGAGGGATCGATCGAGGTGTTGACATCTGAAGGTTTTGGGAAGCTGGAGAACATTTCACAGAAACAGAATCTCTTCTGGACACGGTCTCAATCGTCGACCTCCTGAACACTTCCACCTCTGACCTGCAGCCTTTCACCTCCATCACTGCCGAGAGACACGAGACGAATGCTCCGTTTGGAAAATCAGACGTAAAAAAATAATTTGACCACTTCCAGGTGTGACTCATATACCAAACTATTTGCTACTCTACACCATCCACGTGTCGCAACAATACTCAATTTGTACAAACAGTTTCCCTTCCCAAAAATAGATTTTACTCAACACGGCAGAACCTGATTTTCAGCCAAGAACAAAAAGAAAACAATGACGTGTGCCAAATCGGTGTAAGCGAGGCTTTCAGTCACACCTTTTGTTATTAATCTTTTATCCGCTGTTGCTAAAGGAAACAGAACTGTTGACTAGACACTCATATGTTGACTGCGTCTGATCGCACAAACGAAGAACTTGTGAACCAGGAAGCTGGCAGTGAAACTCAACCGTTCACCTCTTCAACCAACAAATGATAAACAAATGCATGTCAACACTTTTCAGCAAGTCTGTCTGCTAAACACACAAAGTGCTCTCGGGTTGAAAAGCAATCAACTAATCATACTTGCTAATATTTATGAAACCACACAAACAAATAACACACAGTTCCTTTCTTTTCTGTACCTAACGCACTTGACACACTATCTTGTACCTATCTTGTCACTCTCTGCAAATAAAGCTCTATTGTCCCTGTACAAGGCTGCGGGCACTACTTACATCAAATAACAAAGAGGGTAAACCACACAGACCACATTTTCATGCTCAAAGAGAAAATGCATTTGTGGGTTTCTCCTAAACATGCATCAAGAAACGACCAGTTCAGAGAGGCTGCAGGTTAAACACAAACCAAACGTGATGGCAGTCAAACAGGTTGGAGAAATGAAAGTGCAAGCAGTTGTGCACCCGTCTCTTTGTCTTCTGCATGATAGGCTTGTGTTTGTTCTGCTTTGATGTTGTTTCATCACCGATGTTTAAAAAGAAGTGTAGTATAATATAGCATCGACAAATGATGAGAACAACGGCCTTTTATCAATTAAAAGTACATGCAAACTTAAATAGGTTAATATTTTTAACACGTAATAAAGCAGCTGTTGAGTCTAACGTTACTGAAACTACTGAAGTCAATATTTTATTTTTTTTGGTTACTATTGAAGAAATATCTCACCCTAAAATGAAAATTACCCCATGATTTATTCACCCACCAAGTCATCCTAGGTGTATATGACTTCTTCTCTCAGACGAATACAATCGGAGTTATATTTTAAAAAAATGTCCTGACTCTTGCTAAGATTAATAATGGCAGTGAACGGTGGTTGAGACTTTGAAGCCCAAAAAGTGCATCCATCCATCATAAAAAATACTCCACAAGGCTACGGGGGGTTAATAAAAGCCTTCTGAAGCGAATCGATGTGTTTGTGTGATTAATATATCCATATTTAAAACTTTATAAACCGTAATCTCAAGCTTCCGCTAACTGTCGTACTCACGTTCTTGAGATAGAGGCGTTCCAGCGGATGGCGTAGGACGTAGGCATAAGCTCCTGTGAGAAGTGACGAATGCAGAAAGTGCAAAACAAAACACCGGTCACGAATTCAAAGCACAAAACGAGGATTTCAATAAAAGCCAAGAGACTGGTGTTCCTTTGCTGTAAACAAAACCTTGTTCTCGCAAGACTACCATATTCTCACCGAGTTTTTTTTTTAAAGGCCTTTATTAACCCCCCCAGAGCCGTGTGGAGTAGATTTTATGATGGATGGATGCACTTTTTTGGGCTTCAAAATCTCAACACCCATTCACTGCCATAATAAAACTCGGGAGAGCAAGGACATTTTTTTAATATAACGCTGATTGTATTTGTCTGAAAGAAGAAAGTCATATACACCTAGGATGATTGAGGGCGAGTAAATCAGGGGGTAATTTTCTTTTTTGAGTGAACTATCCCTTTAACTTACATCCTGCTGGATATTATTCAACACTAAATCACTCATATTAAATAAAAAAAGACCAATTAGCAAATATAATCATGTAACGAGACACATCTAAGCCTACACACGTTTATAAAGCTTGCACACACTACTGTTTTACATTTGTTTGTTTCTTTGCAATAATGACATTTAACACATTTAATAATTTTACCCATTTTTATGTGTTTTTTTTAATAAGTTTAACAAGGCAGATTTGGGAATCACTATTCTAGATGTACAGATTACTAACTAAAAAGTAAACTAAACGCCATTAGAGAGTGAATTGCATAATTTGGACGACAGTTTGACACTGAAATGATTGTTTTTGACCTGAATTAACCCCATCACTCAGTGCTATATGGCAGTGGTTCCCAACCCTGGTCCTGGAGGCACCCCAACACTGCATGTTTTGCATGTCTCCTTAATCAAACACAACTGATTCAGGTCATCAGCTCATTAGTAGAGACTCCAAGATCTGAAACTGGTGTGTGAGAGAATGCTAAATGTGCAGTGTTGGGGTGCCTCCAGGACCAGTGTTGGGAACCACTGCTATATGGCATGGCATATCAAAGTATTGTTGTACCAGTCATTTTTGTGAAGCGTATTGCAGTAGTTCAAACTCATGAAACAAAACATAAAAATATATTCCTTGACACCATCCTTTAGGACACGGTGTATTAACAGCTCAGGGTCAATTTAGATCATGAATCTGAGTCTCTTGCAGTTGACAGTTTAGTTTCTGTTCTACTAATATGTTGACATACGCAGAGTTTAATTTAAGTCATACAGTTACAAACGTGTAAATAACTCACCTGCATGTAAACCGTCCACTTGTTGTTGTTGTTGTCTGGTATCGATGTATGGTGACACAAGCTGAAGTTTGAGCGTTTGTGGGGTGTTTCATCCAGTCCAGCCGGCATGAGTAACATCCTCTTTACTTCAGCCGAGTTTCGTTCGAAACACCTGACGCGTGGGCGGAGCTCATGAACGCACAGGTGCAGGTCACGCCTACAGCTTACAGACAGGGAGCTGGAGCTTCAATTGATTGTGTTAAAACTTTTTAAAGGGACAGTTCACCCCAAAATGATCACGGTGTCATCATTCCCTCACCCTCATGTCGTTCCAGTCTTGTTTTGGACTCCATTGACCTTTGTATGGACGAAAACAAATATTCTTTAAAATATGAATGACATGAACCAATCACAGCACACCTCGCTTTTCAGAACGATGAGCTTTGTAAAAATCGATGCGTTTCAGAAAGGCGGGGCATAGAGGAGAAACAATAATGTACAGTATATGGAAAATAATGTGTTTTTTGAACCTTAAACCACAAACATTTCATTATACCAAATACACAAAATAATGTTCTTTTTAGCAGCATCATAGGACCCCTTTAAATTATGAAAGATTTATTTTGGGGAGAACTATCCCTTTAAGTTGTCCATTAGACACGAAGAAATTAGGTCAAATTAATATGCTACTAATTATATTTCAGCATGCCTGTTGTCAACTGAAGTTAGAACAAAACATCTATAACATGGGGCCATAAAATGAAACTCATTGGGAAGTTCAATGATTGAGCAATAACTAGTAATATTTCCTACTTATTTTGACAAGCCAACAAGGAAAATATTTCATATTCACAATATGTGAATGCTCCAAAACAATTTTCAAGATTTCACAGATTACACCTTCACTGATTCAGGCCGTCGAACGCGGCTCACCTGTAGCATCTGACACACTTTACCCCACAGCTGCAATTTTGAGAAAGTCACTGATAATTTGTAGTCAAGCTATATATTTTTTTATAACTGAATACATTAGTTTCGATATCAAATTAATTTTACCTGCTATAAAGAAAATGTACTTAGAAATTACAAAATAAATTCTTACCTCTTTCCTATATGCACCTCTCCATCGCAGGTTTACCAGATTAAGGGTGGAACTCATCTATGTTATTCTTTTCCTTTATAAACATTTACCATTATGTATTTCCCAGCAAAATATCTAAGTTACTATAGCTATTTGTGGATAATACAGAGTTCAGCTTTAATTCAACTAATTGCATTAACACAAGTAGGTTTAAGTATTTTGAAGAAACTAGGACACATTTTTCCTCAATAACTATTTTTAACATTTATAATAAGAAATATTACTTGAGCAGCAAATTAGCATATTATAATGATTTCTGAAGGATCACGTGACACTGAAGACTGGAGTAATGATGCTGAAAATTCAGCTTTGATCACAGTAATACATTTTAAAATAATATTAAAATAGAAATCAGTTATTTAAATTGTAATATATCACAGTATTACTATTTTTACTATATTTTTCAATCAAATAAACAGTCTTGGTGAGCAGAAGATACTTCATTTAAAATCATAAAAAATGTTTCCAACCCAAACTTCATAATTTTATTTTTTTCAGAATAAAACATGAATTCCCTAATATATACATATATGACCCAAAACTGACTGAAGCTAGTGTTTTACTTTGATCCAAAATACTCTTTAGGAAAAATTACTTTTAGAATACTGGATTAATCGCAACTCTGGACTTTGGAATCCTTCCATTTTTACAACCCACAAGATTCTCCAGGACACAGGAAATGAACATAAAGAAAAATTTAATATATGATGTTTTTAATTCAAATCAAATCCAACAATTTGGTGGTAGGGGGAATGTTCAGCAGTCTGTGATTGTGCTTGGGGTATGTGTGGCGGCTGGAAACAGGTAGTGTACAGCAGGAAACCAGAGATCTGCCCACGACTCCACTACCCACATTCGGACACAAATTAAAACATGGAGCCAAAGAGCCGAAAATAAAACTGATTTTCAAATGACTCAAAAGAACAATCAAGGATAGTGGTGCTTCGGTGGAAATCTGAGCGAATTGATCCTGACCTGATACAGGTTACAACACAGTTTTTCCTAAAGATACAGGTTCCTAAAGGCATGTTTTTAATCTCAATTTAAAATGCTATATGGAAAGTGTATGGGTTGTATATTCAGCAGGCCTGTAATACTGGGATACTAGGTTATTGCAGGTTCATTACGACAACCTTGGTTCTTTCTTCGCCATGTGAAAACCACGCGTGGTGCAGTATGGAGCAAAAAAAAAAACAATGAGTCGTATTACAGTTTGTGAGGTGGAACGATAAGAGGAGATGTGTGTGTATAAAAGGCACGCCAGGGTCATTCCCAAATCGAGCAAACAGACAGAAGCCTTCATACACACATGAACACACAGAAATTATACATTCTTGCTAAAGTGCATAATAAAGATAAACTATGCACACATGCACACACACAAACACAGTCTGAATCAGCAACGCCCAAACCTAAATGAAAGAGGGGAACATGGGATACTGAGTTCAGTCTAAGTCTGGGTCAGTACTGTAGCTGTGTGTGTCTCGCTCTCTCAGACACACGCACACATCACGCACACCTACCCTTTCGTACGACAACACGCACACAGATTTGGAGGCGGTAGACGAGCTCATTTCTGATTTTTTAGCTGATTGGAGAGCCAGTCCAGCCCCTCGTAGAGCCCGTCTCCGCTGGTGGCGCAGGTGGCCTGGATGTACCAGTTACGATGACGGAGGGCATGAAGGCCCAGTTTGTCTGTGATCTCAGCTGCGTTCATGGCATTGGGAAGGTCCTGTGATGAACAAGAGACAAATCAAATTGCAGAGATTCAGAGCCAGCCAGACAACATGCGCATGAGTCATGTAAAATCATTGTGAAATGGCATTCACAATCTATTTTACTTGCGTAATGTGACAAATTCAAGTGAAACAGGATATTTAAGAAGTAAAACTTGATTTTTTTTTTTTATGACAAATCACACCCAGATTTTACATTAAATATCACTTTTAACCTCAGAAAACCAAATAATTAATAGTTCATTATGTATTTTTTTTCCACCCTTAAAACTTTTGTTAGGAAGCCATTATATTATAAAACAAATCTTTTAGGGTGCTTGCTTAGGGTTGCAAAAGTTCAGCAATATTTTTTGATATAGTAAGTGACAGTTATGAATTCACAATACAATTCAGTATCATGTAAAATCATTGTGAAATGGCATTCACAATCTATTTTACTTGCGTAATGTGACAAATTCAAGTGAAACAGGATATTTAAGAAGTAAAACTTGATTTTTTTTTTATGACAAATCACACCCAGATTTTACATTAAATATCACTTTTAACCTCAGAAAACCAAATAATTAATAGGTCATTATGTATTTTTTTTCCACCCTTAAAACTTTTGTTAGGAAGCCATTATATTATAAAACAAATCTTTTAGGGTGCTTGCTTAGGGTTGCAAAAGTTCAGCAATATTTTTTGATATAGTAAGTGACAGTTATGAATTCACAATACAATTCAGTAGACAAATGTATTTAAAAAATACATATATTTCAACCAGTAAGGATACAGCAATGAAAAGTTAAGAAATGTCACTATTTGTCCATTTAAATATTGTAATAAATAATTAAATAAAATGTAATATTTTAATATCACTTCATTTAAAAATGTGCTGTTATATCAATGAGACAATAATGACAAAAATCTAAAAAAAAACAAGAAAATGTTTACCATTCACTGAACAGTTTATATATAAATTAAATAAAATGTAAAAGTTTAAGTTTGAGAAAAAGATGTAGCTGCATTAAACGTATCAAGAATCTGTACACCTGCAGCAGTGGAGGACTATTATTCTGCCGCGCGGAACTACGGAAGAACTGATGACGGCACGGTTTGATCCTCGGCTGACCAATCAGCAGAAAGGGGCGTTTAATTCCCGCCCACGTGTAAAACTCGAATATTCAAGCTGTTTATTCATTTTTCTACCCCTGAACGAAAAACTAAAAATTAAGCTGAATTCTTTTTTCATTTCTTGAACAAAAATGGAAAAACAAAAAAGGAGCTGTTTTCTCATTTTACTACTTTCAATATTAAATAAAAAAAACAAGTGAACGAATGATAGACTGATTCTTAATGCTCAGCCCAAACACTGGTCACACATTTATGCACGTTTAAAAACATATAGTAAAATGTATGTACATTTACTTTGTAAATAGATAAACTTGTTCCAAAAGTGTTAAGAATAGTATCTTTAGCATGATAATATTCATTTTTCCCACCAAAACTTCAGAGTGTCAGCTACTGTTATGTAGTTTTACCCATATTTAGTGAAAGTCAGGTATTACTTTATTGCTTTATTTATGCAATTCTGCAGCTCTAGATCTCTTAGGGTTAACCTGTGTTTAATGTGGTCTGAGTCATATTTCATTCATGTTTTTTTTTTTTTTTTTAAGATGAGAATGTCATGCAACCTATCCATGTTGGCATCTGTCTAAAACCAATTAAATGTATCCCAAAATACTGTAGAGCTTGATTGCACACACTGCTTTTGATGTAAACCACAAGTGGGCATGGGAAACATTTTCTTCTCCATTTTAAAGCTAATAAATCAATTTATCTCAGTTGCTTTTATTATTTGCATTAAACATTAGAAAGATACCTCAGATAAGTGATGCTCACCTGTTTGTTTGCAAAAACGAGAAGGACAGCATCACGCAACTCGTCTTCTGCTAACATTCTCGTCAACTCCTCTCTGGCTTCATTAACTCGTTCCCTGTCATTGCTATCCACTACGAAGATCAGACCTGGCACCAGGAATATCAGGAAAATCATTACAACAATAATCATTGAACATGATTTTGTTACAGTACTCCTATAAAATTCTCAAGCAAATTTCTATCAGTCCATTTGCACAGCAAATCGTTCATCCTGATTGTTTTTGGCTCTCATACCTTGAGTGTTCTGGAAGTAGTGCCTCCAAAGTGGTCTGATTTTGTCTTGGCCACCAACATCCCAAACTGTGAAACTGATATTCTTATACTCTACCGTCTCTACATTAAAACCTGCAGCACACAAAGGACACAACAGGTGAAAATAACTTTAAAGCTTGGGCATTTCAGACACAAATTCAACACATATACAGCAAAGCACAGCAGATAATCTGAACAAAAGACTTTTGTGCACCGTGATGCACAAGTCAAGGTCAAACCGTGAGATAGTTAGGTTGACAAAGTGTTTGAATGTGCTTTCAAGATAGCATACACTGACAAAAACAAATAACAGATGACGTCTTCAGCCGTACCGATAGTGGGAATGGTGGTAACTATTTCTCCCAGCTTGAGTTTGTACAGGATGGTGGTTTTACCGGCGGCATCAAGACCGACCATGAGAATTCTCATCTCCTTCTTCCCGAACAAACCCTTAAACAGGCTTGCAAAGACATTCCCCATGCTTTACACTGCAAAAATAAGAGTTAAACATATATTAGCAATTTAAAAAAGCACATAAACTACATGCATGACAGTACATTGACTTTAATTCAAAAGTCCCATTTAATGCTGGGTTAGAAAACAAGACCCTGTAATGACAATGCAACGTTTTTAAATAAAGAAAGTCATACATTTTCATAAAAGTTCACAGGAAGAATAAAATGGGCTGATATTATATGACAAGAGAGACCTTTTTATTTTTTTTAATAAATCAAAGTATACAAAGACAAACATCATATATGTCTTGGATACTGGGATAGACACTTCAAACTAATTTAATGTCATTTAAATGTTTATTATAAAACATAAGGCACATTTTGTGTTTTTGTAAATAAATGTCTAATAACATGGAGAAATACTATCAGACTGGCAGGGCATTCACATTTAATCCAAAGTTTAATTAAGTTACTACACGACATAAAAGTAAGATTAACATTAATCATTTTCTAAATAAATTTTAATTGGCATATACTTCTGTCATAATAGCAGGATAACTAGCTTTGTCTACACTATTGCCCACGAACAATTCTTTAAGATGCTTCGCAGCCACTTTTAAGTACTAATATATATTATTTGAGGAAAGTAAGGCTGTGTTTTTCTCAAATAAACTGATTTTATGAACCAATCATCTTTAGCAAATTAGCCGACTAACGTTAGCTACACAAGATAAGAGCAGCCAGCTGACACTTCAAATGACGGATTTTGTCATTTGAAAACGGTTTAATAAATGACTAACTATCTTAACGTAATCGTCAACAAGTGAGAATGTTTATCATGAAGTCAGGGAAATAAAATCACCTCTAAACCGGGACTTCTCGAGCTTTCTGTCTCCACTGCTTGAGCGCACCGCTGTCACTGCAAAATGGCGTATATTACAACTCAACGCACCGGCTTGATACGCCCCGCCCATCACAAACAACGGCCCAATCGGATTAGGAGAACAAAACATAATCCCGCCTTCTACGAGTGAGGTCCAATCAGAATGCTCGACAGATCCGGTTGGATTTGGGAAATGAGGAACCAGCAACTTCCGATTTATTGTAGTGACTGTAAACGTCTTAGTTTACATTGCACAGCATTGAAATAGCGTTTGTTTTCATGCACAAAATATATTATATAAAAGTATTTATACAGTGTATATTATGTATAGCACTGAAGTTAAACAGTGTTGTCTTCCTAACAAAACTATCAACACAACAAATGTACAATGTACATTTGCATCAAAATTATTATACAATTTGAAATATTATGATTAAGCTTAGTCAACTGAGAATTTTGAAAATGTTTAAAAATTCAACCAAAAACAAGTTACTACACAAATAAGTGAAGTGAGCATCATAAAGCTCAAAAATAATGGAATGAGATGTATAAAACTCAGTTCTTTTTCTTTTGTAACGGTCACTTTTGCTAGAGTGCCACAGTTGAGCAGGTATCTGAATGTTCATCATATTCTTGCAGCTCCAGTTTTCCGTCTCTGACCCTCCAATCCCAGCTGGGACTGCCGTCAGGAGCAGGGACACACTGCAACCACATGCCTGACTCGCACACTTCTGTGTCCGGAGACACCAGACGCCCGTCTAGGGTGGCCAAACTGAAGGTCCTCAGAGATATCTGTGATAAAGAAGTAAATGCTGTTTTAATGCGCTGTTTAATCTCTGTTTACAGGAATCTTATTTATGTATAATTATGAAATCTCACCTGTTCACTGATTCCCACAGCTATGTGTCCGATTTTCACTTGAGGCCTCTCTCTGATCTTTAAACTCTCTCCGCTTACATCTTCAACCCATATATCCACGCCAAGACCTGCACACATACACAAATCAATACTCACAAACACATGAAGCACCTGAAATGATGAAAATTACCTTCAAAGTAGCAAGATGGCGTCTGATCAGTTGACACTGACCAATCCACATTGAAGCTTTGACCATCTGCAGTGCTACAGGAGGAAAAGACCCCCGAGCTTAAATCATCAGAGTCCTGTAAAACAAGAACATTGGGTTAATTTGATGTTCTGGCATAAAACTCATGATTCTGTCTGCAGGTTTATCTAGGGTGACCATAAGTGCCATTTTCCCAGGACGCGTCCTGGCCAGGATTTCTATATTGCCTAAAATATCTAGGTTTTGGCTTTGTTTGCATGTGCAGATCAATCGGTGTGTGACATCAAAATACCACACAGACGGTTCCTTAAGCTTTCAAAATGCTCTCGAGGTATTTTGAAGTCATATTTTTGACTAAAAAAGGTATTTTTTAAACAAAGCCAAAACCTAGATATTTTAGGCAATATAGAAATCCTGGCAAGGACGCGTCCTGGGAAAATGGCACGTATGGTCACCCTAGGTTTACCTCATCACTAAGGTCTTGCTCAGAGTCACAGCGGATGGTGCAGGTGAAAGGCTGCGGTCCATGAGAATCATGTAAACTTGTGCCTTTTTGGTCTGTGGAGAGAAAAAAAAGCATAAAAAGTGCTTGACATTCACAAAACTCTGTATCAGAACATTTGAGCTACATTTGCTGTTTGATGCATTTCCTAAAATGTTTGAGACACAGTATGCTGCAAAGGTGTATGTAAATCATAATCTTGGGGGAAAAAACAGAGAACCTTTTCAAGTACCTAACCCTAAACCTACTCTTTTCCTTATCCACAGAATCAGATTGGTACATGTAACAACGGTCAAAATAAAGGTTTTAAAAGAAGGTTTTCACAGCAATGCCATAGAAGAACCATTTTAGCTTCCAAAAAGAAACTTTCATTGAACAGTTCTTAAAAGAACCTTTTTTCTTAGTGTGAAGAACTTTTAAAAAACCCAAAGAATCTTTTCACACTATAAAGAACTTTTGTGGAATGAAAATGTTCCATGGATGTTTAAGGTTGTTCATGGAACCACAGAAAACCTTTATTTTTAAGTGTTGTTGATCAAGGATGTTGATCCATGAACATATCCGACGTGGCAAAATCATGGTCCTCGAGTTACTAAGATAACATTATTTACACACCACTGGTGATGTATGATGGATTTCTCCAATCATTTAGTTAGCTTAAACCCCGCCCCTCCACAATCGACTGAATTCATTTTTACTGCCACGCCCCCATCTCGATATCCAATCAAAAACTAATGCATAAAACCAAGTCCCGCCCTAACTTTTTTTTTTCCCGATGTTTCATTTGGATGTACATCAGGAAGACAGATCATCAGTTACTATCGTATGGCTTTAGAAGACTTGGACTACACTCAAAAAAATGCTGGGTTGTTTCAACCCAACTTTGGGTCAAATATGGACTAACCCAGCTGTTGGGTTAAATTTTTACATTACATTTTTAACCCAAAAGTTGGGTTAGTCCATATTTGACCCAAAGTAGGGTTGAAACAACCCAAAAATTTTTTTTGGAGTGTATACACTTAAAAAAATTAAAGGTTCCAAAAAAAGGGGGGGGGGGTTGCAGTGATGCCATAGAAGAACCACTTTTGGTTCCCCAAGGAACCTTTCAGTGAAACATTCTCAAAATATTTTTTCTTTCCTAGATGGAAAGGTTCCATGAATGTTAAAGGTTCTTCATGGAACCATAGATGCCAATAAAGAACCTTTATTTTTAAGAGTATAGTGCATAAGTCATATGAACTGCTGCTTTATCACATTCACTTTCATTGTATGGAAAAGAAAAGCAATATTCCGTTAGCCTTTTATTTCAGTGCATAGAAGAAAGACATCAAAGATGAAATGGACATATTTAGTTTGAATCAAATCAATCACACACACAACAACTCACCACTATCCCTCAGCATGACCGACTCTTCTTCAGACTCCGAATAGCTGTCTTCGCTCTGCAGTTGAGCTTCTTTTGGGCGATAAAGTGTCTGGAGCTGTAGAAACGGCTCCCACTCCTGCACCCAATCGCTGCCAAGCTCTCGAAGACTCTCCAAATCACTCTCCACCTCCTCGTCATCCACAACGCTTCGGATCTCTCCATCCCAGCTCTCTGATTCCTCTAAAATACTTCTGTCATATTCACCGCATCCTCCAAACACAACTCTTTTTTCAATGAAATAATCAGTTTTGCTTTCTTCAGTCTCTGTTTGATCTGTCGCTTTGACATTTTCATTGATCTGCGATGTGTCTTCATCTGATTCGAGCTCGCTGTCATCTTCTGAAAAATTTTGTTCCTCGTTATTTTCCTCCTCACCCCAGTATCTGTCTATCCTGCTGCTCATCTTGTCTCTTCTTAGTCTGTTCATATCTGCATCTTCATCCCACTCGCTCTCCTCCGTCGTGGAGTCAGAATCATCCTCATTTGGTGCCGTCTGTCTCCATGTGCTCACCCAGTGGATTGTGGGTGCTGAGAGGTCTTCTGGGAAGCCAGGAGGACTTGTTTTCACTGGAGTTTCCGTGTTGGATGGGACAGGCGTCTTGTGCAAGTTCACATTCAGACAGTCCTCGAATGCAGATGATGAATGCTGTTTAGCTGATTCCTCAGGACCAGAGAGCCCACATACTAAATATGCATAAAATCAAGAGTTTGGGGTCAGTAAGATTTTCAAATGAATATTTTATTCAGCAAGGATGCATTCAATTGATCAAAAGTGACTTTCTATTTATCAAAGAATTCTGAAAAAAAGGATCATGGTTTCCAAAGAATATTAAGCAGCACAACTATTTTCAATATTAATAATAAGAAGAGACGTTTCCTAAGCAGCAAATCAGCATATTAGAGTGATTTCTGAAGGATCATATGACACTGAAGACTGGAGTAATGTTGCTGAAAATTCAGCTGCGCATCACAGGAATAAATTACATTTTAAACTCTATTCAAATAGAAAACTGTCTTTTTACACTGTAATAATATTTCACAATTTTGCTGTATTTTTGATCAAATAAATGCAGCTTTGGTGAGCATAAGAAACTTCTTTCATGTAAATATAAAAATGTAAAAAAAAATTACCAATCCCAAACATTTGTTGACATGAGAATTATTTATGTTAAACACATTTCATCATATTTTATAACCATCCAAAAACAGTTTGCACCTGTTCTGAGTGCTTTCACAGTCTTTTGCAGCAGTTCTGATGCCGAATGTCTCTCTCTCGGCTCCTTAACCAGTCCTGCTTCGATGACATCACAGGTCAGCGGGTCACAGTCAGGTGGAATCTCCCATAAAGGAGGCGGCTCACTCACAATCTGACAGTCAGAACACATTTCATACAGTAGAGTCAAAAGCAGTCCAATTTCAAAATAGTCTTCATAAAGAATGAGGAGGGGTGGTAAACCGCATTGCTAAAACCATCCGGTCCTGCAGATTTGCTTTATTCAACATCAGGAAGATCAGGCCCTTTCTTTCAGAACATGCTTCACAACTCCTTGCTCAAGCTCTTGTTCTGTCCAGGCTGGACTATTGCAATGCTCTCTTGGCAGGTCTTCCAGCCACTTCTATCAAACCTTTACAATTAATCCAGAATGCAGCAGCAACATTGATTTTTAATGAGCCGAAAAGAATGAACGTCACACCTCTGTTTATCTATTTGCACTGGCTACCAGTAGCTGCTCGTATAAAATTCAAGGCATTAATGTTTACCTACAAAACCATCACTGGCTCTACACCCATTTACCTAAATTCATTACTTCAGAGTTATGTGCCCTCTAGAAGCTTGCGTTCTGCAAGTGAACGTCACTTTATTGTGCCATCTCAAAGAGGCACAAAATCACTTTCACAGACTTTTACATTAACTGTTCCCTCCTGGTGGAATGACCTGCCCAAATCAGTCCGAGCAGCTGAGTCCTGAGCCATCTTCAAGAATCGGCTAAAGACACATCTCTTCCATCTTTATTTGACCCTCTAACTCTAACACTCTCTATTCTAATTACATTTCTTCTTTTTATTTAACCCTTGTGAGGTCTTCGGTCACTTCTGACCGGAGAATTTTAAATTTTGAATTTTTTAAAATCGTAGCTTCACCAGAATGGTACAAAACTTGGTGACTTTTATGGCACCTTGTATGTGAACACAAAAAAATTGAGGGCATGATTCAAAAAAGCTAAATGATCATAAAAAAAATAGTCACACTCATGGTCTTCGGTCAAAAATTACCGACCATAGGAAATGAATGGAAAATGGGGGGGGGGGGGGGTCCCCCCCACGGGCAAAAAAA